GGCATGAAGTGAATAAATTACAAAGTTCCTGGAAATTGCAACAGCTGTATCGCCGCAGTAGTTTGGGTTTGTGCGTATATGACTATACTAGGATAATGTGATAAAGAATGTTAATTTGCAATATAATATCAAACTCTCAAGTAAACACCACTTTAATTAAAATACCCTTTTTAACTAGAATTTCCGCTGGACATTTTGGTTGTTTTGTATAAAATCTACACTATCACAGATGGGAATATACCTCGCTATAAAAATGCAAATCAACGTACTACTGGATGGTTCAACAGAGAACCGGCAGAAGGTTGTAATAATTTTGGAGCACTCGAGCCCAACATGTCGCTGAGCGCATATGCTTTGAATTTGGGAAACACTAATTGCACTGACAAATCTCAAAAATAAATTAAAATTTTTAAAACAATCTGTAATGTAATTTTCTTTATTTTTACATAAGTGACATTTCATGCAACAAATAAAAAATGAAATATAAATACGGAGTTACCGTACTCGGTTCTTAGAAAATCGATGTATAAAAAAGAGTAAAAGTAGCATGTTTTATCAATTTTAAGACATTTTACGATTATTTCCTATGAAAAGAATTATAGCAATTTCAATATCTAAAAATGTTGGTCCGGGACATATGATGAACAAAATGGTACAGAGAAATAAGCAATTTACCTGACTGTGTAGTCCTTGGTAGAAAGCAGGAGTATTACTGGAAGCTGAACTGGTACCGCTGGACATATATATATATAGTGTGTACATTGACCCGGGGCATGCATGCTTGTTGGGTCGATGACAGTTCAATTAAATGGTCAGTTTTATTTATCAAAACTGGACAAACAACATCTGCATGGTGTACCGACACACCTTGTTAAATCCAGCCAGCCAATCAACGGATGCCGTACTCAATGAAGTAACTTGAAAGTATTATAATGCTATTCCATCAGCCAATAGAAACCTTTCGTCTCAGTTTGAATTGTAAATTTATAAATATTTATAA